AGAACAGAGAATGTGGGGTGGATGGCCAACCATTTCCTCTTTTAATTCACTTTTAAAAATATCAGTGTGATTCCTGAAAATTCATTGTCTGGGAGTTTTCGTTGATGGAGAATTTTAGGTAAGAGTAATGACTTTGGAGGTAAAGATAGGGGGTTTGCTTGCAGCTTGGGTGATGTGACCTTGATTGGGCCATCTTATCTCTGTGGGCTTTATGAAATCTGACTGTGGGGTTAAGAGGAGCAGCCTCACAAAGACATCCTGAGGTCATCATGCCTATAAAAATGCCTGGCACATTCTAAACACGGAATCAATGGTGGCAGTTCTCATTGTTAAACTGTTTGCATTAAAATGTCTAGTTTCTTTTGTTGAAGTGAGAATTAGTAGAGGAGAGATATTTAATTGTGGAGCTTCTGTGGTTGCCATGTGTTACCTTTTTAATTTAATTAATTAATTAATTAGACTTTAGGAGGCTGTTGATAATAATCACCATTGATTTGCTGTTCTGGGGATTGGGGGTTGCGTTTTTACACCAGCTCGGGAAGTTTCCCCGGGTTGGAATCATCTTTAACAAGAGCTGTGGATAACCACATTGTGTGCTCTCTGAGCATCAGTTGAGTCTTCAGATTGCCCTTGACCCTTTGGCAGCATTACCAATGACTGTCATTCATAATGTGCACACAATATAGCAAGTCCATGGAACCCCACTGACCCTATCCTTTTTATTGGCCTCTGTGCTGCTTCTTACTGTCTTATATAACTTTAGGCACCACTTCAAATATTTATATTTTCTATGAACCTCCTGTCCTTAAAAAAAATTTCTTAATGGATTTTATCTACCTCTAAAATGAGAGGCTAAGGGGCACCTGGGTGGCTCAGTCGGATAAGTGTCTGCCTTCGGCTCAGGTCATGATCCCAGGGTCCTGGGATCGAGGCCCGCATGGGGCTCCCTGCTCAGCGGGAAGCCTGCTTCTCCCTCTCCCACTCCCCCTGCTGATGTTCCCTCTCTCGCTGTCTCTCTCCGTCAAATAAATAAAATCTTAAAAAAAAATAAATTAAAAAAAATGTAAAAAAAATGAGAGGCTAAAACAATACATAAATTCTGCTTCCGTTTGCCTATTATTAGAACACTTGCAGACAGCAATCGATAGACAATTTTAAACAAAGCAGTCTGCATTCATTCATTTTCAAGGAAAAAATGAAATGCTAAGAATATAGCACAATTCCATGGGGATCTGAGGAGATCTTTGGAGGTTAAATGACATCCATGGGTCTTTGAATTTAACTTTGTATCTCCTTCAGGAATAACTTATTAATAAATAATCAATAAAGATTTGGCCAGGGTTTCAAGTAAATTATAAGCACAGGGATATACATTTTTTAATATAGAGAGAACTCTCATGGGAATTGCAACAATCAGTAGAATAATTTTAGGATTTGTTCTCTCTCGCTCTCTCAGTCTCTTTGCTCGTTCTCTCTTGCTCTGTTGTTCTTTTTCTCTCTCAGTTTCTCTCTTTTCTGGAGCTGTAAATCCAGATATGATACTCAGTTTAGCCCCTGGTAATCTCTAATAAATGCATAAAAATATTCAAAGGGATTGGATCCTTTTATTAGATTTTAGGAACTCTGCTTCCTTCAGGAATTTTCAAAGGTCAGATATTTGAGTTGGGAATAGTCACTAAGGAGTTTTTAATGCTGCTGAAATAGAGATTTGACTAATGATCACAAAGGTTATATAGATAAGACAGTGTGTTTAACCTACAAATGAAAAGGAGTTGGCATCTTGCCAGCTCTTCCTCATTTACTGGGTCTGTTCTATATCCTTTGGTCTGTCAGCCATGGAGAAAATGGACTGAGCGTATGTTCTTATGTTTGAAAAAGATAGATGGATATAAGGAAGAAGGGCCATGATGCCAATAGGAAGAGTCAAAGAATTTAAATTAGACCCAAGTTGGGGGAAAAAGTGACGGTGGGAATCAAGGCTGGAGGTTCTGTGTTTAACCAGACCTGCACTGCTCTTTCCTGGGAGAGGATTCATAACAGCAATAGTGATATGTCTTCTGCAAACATGAAGGCTGTTCCGTTGTCTCTGTTTCCTCCTTGGGAGTGTCCATCTGAGTATCTGTCTTCTGAGTTTTTGGACTGAGTCAGCAGGGGAAGAAATAGCCCAGACTATTGGAGTGATTTATTTATACTTTAATCTGCCATGTAAAGCCACTTTGTTTCAAAATTAAGATGAAACACCCAAAGAAGGGACTGGCTGAAGATTTAAGCAGTCTTCAAATTACCACATCTGCTACATCTGTCCCTATTAACCAGATGGTTTTTTGATAGGATGAATCTCATTGTAGGAGAGTTGGATGAATTTTCCTTCTCTGTTCCCCACCCCCCCTTTTGTTTGCAGGTGCCATCAACAGATGATCTCATAGCAGAGATGTCTGCTGTGGTGGGCTAAATCCAATCTATTGTCATGATTTCCTTTTCCCAATAAAGTGTTTTGAAGTATTTGAAACATCTAATATAAGATTTTTCATAAAACTATTTTTGGGCTTTTCTTTAAAAAAAAAAATCAGTTGATTTTGCAACCTTGCTCCATCCCACATAATCACCAAGAACTAAGTAGCTCCTCACCCCTTTCATGGGTGTGAGATCTCCATTATGCCACAGTCCTCACCATTCCCTAATGCCTTATACTAACCTAGCTAATTTCTCTCATTGTTTCTAATCAATGAATTTGAAAATCACTGAGTTATTGTTTTTTAAACTTAAGAGACACTTTATTTTAGAGAGCGTATTGTCTAACGCCTTCAGCTATTGGACATGTAGGCTCCAGAAAGTAGACCAGAGCTGGGAGGATGGAGTCATGGGTTAATTATACTTAATTGTGATGTATAGTCTGTGGCAAGATTTTTGCATGGTCTTTTTTTTTTTTTTAATGATAGTCAAAATGTGGAAACCTAAGTATCTAAAAGAGTTCTGAATGTTATGGGGGCACCTGGGTGGCTCAGTTAGTTAAGCATCTGCCTTCAGCTCAGGTCATGATCCCAGGTCCTGGGATCAAGCCCCACATTGGGCTCCCTGCTTAGCAGGGAGCCTTCTTCTCCCTCTCTCACTCCCCTCCCCCTGCTTGTTCTCTCTTTCTCTCTCTCATGAATAAATAAAAATATTTTTAAAAAAGAGTTTTGAATGTTATATGCAAGAAATCCTCATTTTAAATCAATTTCACATCCTTGTTTTCTAAGTCAATGGAAATATGTGAAGAAGCGGGCGATGATACGGAAGTTTAGCCTCCTCCTTTTTTCTTTTCCTGCCGTAAGATTGAGTTCCTCTAGAGGGCAACAGAGAGCAGCTTGATGTTAGAGTCTGGGTCCTAACCAGGATGCTGGTTAGGAAAAATTTAAAAACCTTTTCTTGTCCCTGATTTCTCACAGGCAAATCCTCGAGTATAGGGGGATCTTTAGGGATGGAAGTTGTATCCTCTGCTGGGCATTGTTTATTAGTCTCCCTGGGAATCCATCAAATAAGAAGTGTGTGTGTACAAAGTATTTGCAGGTTTTTGTGTCTTTTAAAACAAGAGTAACCAAATATGGCCTGCTTGTGTGTTTTGTTTGGCTGCCAAAACCCACTAGTCCATAATCCTAACCTAGAGATACTGAAAAGAGAGGCAAGAGCTTTTCCTCTCTCGGTTCTGTTGTCTCTTTTAGGTTTGTGGCTTCTTCTTTTGGCTAGGAATTCATTTAATTCCTTACCAGGTTAGCAAGAACTAATTTGTTTAATTGATTTACATGGTTATTTCCTACTGGGAAGCAATGTAATTTAAAGGGGAAAGATTTTCACAAGACCCCTAATAGAATTGGTTAATTGTGACTTTTATTAAAGATTTTATTTATTTATTTATTTATTTATGAGAGAAGGAGAAAGAGAGCTGGCATGCAAATGGGGGTGGGGAGGACCAGAGGGAGATAGACAAACAGACTCCACGCAGAGCACCAGACCTGGCTCCGTCCCAACCACCCTGAGATCATGACCTGAGCTGAAACCAAGAGTTGGATGCTCAACCGACTGAGTGCCCCTAATTGTGACATTTTATTATCACCTTAACATTATATTTGAACCCCAAATAATCACTGCCAGCAATATTGCATTTGGCAGTTTCTAAAATTTGGAGGCTCATTCTGCCCTGAGCTTGTAAACTTAGCAAGAATGGAGATTACACCTTATGTAACAGGTTTGCCTACTGTCAACATTTAACGTTCATCTGGGTGTCAGTTCTTGGTTCCTGGGCATCAGTATGCACGGTTTGCTTATTGGCTGTGTTTTAAGAAGTGCCATTTACTATTTAAAGCACTAAAAATTGCCAATTTATGCATGATAATGTAAATTTCTTTATATGCTTCTAGAATTCAATTTTAGCCAGACTGCAGGCAAATGTTAAGGTTGGCTGTGTGATGGTGTTTTTAGCTATAACATGGAAATTACTTGTATGTGTATCTGACTTGGCAAACAAACATCCTCATACTTTCTTTGGAGCAGCCACACTCTGAGGACAAATTTCTCTCATGAGAATATTTGTAAGTTTTATCTTTTTTTTTTTATATACTGCTCATTATATCATTGGAGTGTGTGTTGTACATTTAAAATGGACATTTAAATCACCTTCCAGGGAAACTGGATGAAATACCCCATTACATTGTCGTTTCCTTTTGAATTATCCAATCACTGAATTTTGGGGCTGGAAGATAATTCCAGAGGTGACTTGATTCATCTTGCTTCCTTTCAGTGGATATGCTAAAACTTGGTATGGAAATGACCACCTTTCTCATTAAAAACGAAGACCAGGGGCACCTAGGTGGCTCAGTTGGTTAAGCATCTGCCATTGACTTAGGTTCATAATCCCAGGGTCCTGGGATCTAGTCCCGCATTGGGCTCCCTGCTCAGTTTGGAGTCTGCTTCTCTCTCTCTCCCTCTGCCCCTGCTCATGTGCTCTCTCTCTCATTCACTCTCTCTCTCAAATAAATAAAATCTTTTTAAAAAAATAAATAGAAATGAAGACCAAACAATCCAACGAGCATAGTTAGACAATCCCACCCATTCTGTTCTCCAGCTCTGACAACGCTTCAGCTTCCCACAATGTTCAGGCTTTAGAAGAAACATAAGATATGCCATTGCTTTTCTTTTTTAATGTTTAGTTGTTTCTTCATAGATGCTTCCATTCTGTGAGCCTGTACCAGCAGCTGTCTCCCCTGTTCTTACTAACAGAACCCTGATTTTGTGTTTAGTCCACACAATTACTTGACCTCGGGCAAAGCAGGCCTGTCCAGAGTCATGCTTGATGAAAATTGTGATTGGTCTCAGCTGGTCTGGTCAGCCCATTCTGTCTCAGCACTGACTGGTCTAGAGTTGTGTATGTGAGCCAACTCTGGCCAATGAGGAATTATTAGAAGTGGGAGAGATTCCCTTCCTGAATAAAATGACAAGACACCCATGAAGATAAATCCTTTTGCCTCTGTCTTGCTTCCTGCTTCGAGTGAGGATATGTTGCTTGGAAGTACAGCCGCCATCTTGTAACAGTGAGGTGACAGTCTTGAAAACATGCTGAGGACAGTGAAATAGAAGAAAGCTGTATCTTTGACAGCATTGTTGAATGGCTGAATGAACCTCGGGGACCACCTCCCTCCAGATTTCTAGGAGAAAAATAAACCAGTAATTATTTAAGCCTCCGCTACTCCAGGATTCTCTTATTTGCAGCCAAAAGCATTCCTAACTGATAAACCACCTAAAAGGCAAATTATGTAATGGAGATGTTCATCAATTCAACCAGATGAAAAGGCAGCAGTATATTTTGTCTCAATCTGCTCTTTTGTAAATATTATTTCCTTTGGCCTAGAATGAAAGACAGATGTTGAGAAATGTAATTAGATTCTTGGTATACGTGGCCAAGTTTTAATTTTTAATTGAACACGAGGCCCCAAAGTGTTTGGCAACAGAAAGAAAATAATCCAGCATTTCTTATTTAATTAAGTCCTACTGTACTACCGTATAGCCAAAGATCAGAGCTAGCAGGATTACATTACATGGTGATTTTAGTGTTGCTGTCTCTTGTTGCTAACTGCTTGTCTTCAAATCTAGTCCAGTCTGCTGCTTAGACTGTGGTACTGTATTTACAGTAGATGCTTTGGAGCTTATCCCAGGAGACTCTGGTATGGCTGGATTCTTGGAGCAGATGAAAAGGTCAGGAGGTAGAGTTCACTTTCGTTAGTGATGGGAGCCTCAAAGAGGAGTTCCAGGGAGGGCACTCACAGGTTGGCTCAAGGAATTTGGCCTTGCTGGACAGTTGCTTTGTTCCAATAAAGCAGAATTAGCAATAGCTCCTCTCTGAGTTAGATTCAGCATCATTTCTAAACCTGAATGGCTGGAGGTAAATCTGTTTATAAATTCAGAGAAAACCAAATCTATAAGTGACTGAAGAAAATATGTCCATTTCATATTATCTGTTGTGTATAGTGTTATACCCAGAATGTTAAGGTACACGGATTTCATGTGAGTGTAGCCCACCTCAAACTTTTATACTAACTATATTATAAGGTTAGCTGGAATTACTGAAAACTTTCACCTAGGAAGTATTTTTTAATAACTACATTTATTTACTAATATATAGGTGCATTTAACCTCAAAATAGGCTAAAAATGTAGTGGAGATCTCTAGCTGGCCTACTGTAATGAGTAGATAAGCAACTTGTAATTAGTGTGCTGGTTCTGTATAAATATATTTCTATTTAGTTTGTTTCCTTCAGATTGAATACTGCCCACCCCCTTTGTTCATTAATTGCTAATTGTAGAACAGATTTTTTTTTTTTTAAAGTGGGTAAAGTGGGATATAGATTCAGATTACCCAGGTCCAAATTTTTACAAAATCTGATTTAATAGGGTCAGAATTAATCAGGTTTTATTGTATGTCATTTCCTTTTAATCTCAAGAGTTATTAAACATGGTAAGTTGTCATTTTGTGTGGAGATGTCATGTGGATATTGATTAAGAATCGAGGTAAAGCCTTACTCTTTAAAAAAATAATTGGCTTCAATACACACTTGAGTTCTACCAGAGGAATATGCTTATGTAGTTAAAAAGTTTTATCCTCAAGTGTTTTTTTTTCTTTAAGTTTCAAAGGAGGTCATTAAGAATAATGGTGCCCTAAACAAAATAATATTGAAGCAAATGTGTTTTTTCTTTGCATCATTTCTTTGGGATGACTGTAACTCTTTTGACAGTTCTGTTTGAACGGTAAAAGTGTTATTTGTGCGACAGAACATCTGTTGGTTCCTTAGCTTGGTGAACATCAGGTCTGACTCATTCCTTCAGCATTTGGAATTTTGGACCCTGAGGTTTGAGGAAGTAACTACCATGTTTAGGTGTGAACTTCTCCTTCTTCTACTTCTTTGGTCTTTTCTTTAGTCTTCAGGGTTTTCCACAGAGGAGCGCCCCTTTTTAACAACAGAAATCATGTCTTGGCGTTTTCCTGCTAAAAGCCGCTGAGGCGTTTCCCTTCGGTGAACACCCACATTCCTTACCATGGACTCCATGGTCCATGTGATCTATTCCCTCCTGGGTCTGCAGACTCATCCTTTGCCACCATCTCTCTCTCAAAAGGCCCTTTAGCTGCTACAGTTCTGTGTCATGTGCCACGACCACTCCACCCCAACTCACTGCTGTCTCAGAGCATTTGTACCTGTCATTTGCCTGGTGAGGAGATCTCTTTTCCCAGGTCTTTCCTCGTCTGACTTCTTCTTATAGTCCCAGACTCAGCTCCTTTGTCACCAACTAAGAGTAACCGCCCCTCCCCCCCAAGTCTTTGTCACATGGACATTGACACAGTTGACATACAACACTTAAAAGCATAACATAATTTCACTTCTGAACTTGCTTTTTATATCAATATTGCTTTTATCTGTCTCTCTTTGAGAAGATGGAAGTTTGATGTTGCCTACCTTGTTCATCTGTCTTGTCTGTCTCTGTAGGGGGAACTGGATTCCTCAGTGCCTAGAGCACGTGGTAGGCACTCATAAGTCTTCTTGAATGAAACTGAATGAAAGGAAATACACAGTGTACAAATATACCTGGACTATTTTAGAAGTCAAATGACAGAATTAATTCAGGTCATCCAAATATGTTATTATTCCCTTCTCCTAGGTTCCATTCAGTCCATTTTATCCTAAAGCACCTACCTTATTGGGAGTTCCATCTGGAAAAAATGAATTCTAAATTTATTTTTTAAAATTAATTCAGACTTGGGGCACCTGGGTGGCTCAGTTGGTTAAGTGTCCAACTCTTGATTTCGGCTCAGGTCATGATCTCAGTATTATGAGATAAAACCCTGTGTCAGGCTCTGCTCAGTGTAAAATCTGTAAAATCTCTCTTGTTCTTCCTCTGCCCCTCCCCCTGCCCGCACTCTCTCTTTAAATAAATAAATAAAATTAAAAAAGTGAAAATCAGATGCAACTCAAATGCCTAGTGAAGCCCCTTCATTAGGTGACAGAAAAATGCTTAAAGCAGCCTTTCCAAACTGTGTTTTATGCATTCTTAATCCTGATGAAACTCCATGAAAGTGAGTGTGTTGTCAAATATGTGGAAATACAGCAGTATCATATTCCTTTAGCATATTCCATGAACATATTAAAAAACTTTTTGAGGTGGAGAAATCTCTTATTTGTCTCACTATTGCTATACTTAAAGGCCACAGACTCTCTTCCATCCCCCTGTGTTTTGTTTTCATCCAAACTCCTGTGAACATTTTGTGGAACTCTATCCATTTGTCTCCCATCTTTTCCATGTCATGGCTGAAATAGACAATGGTGATATTTGCATGGCCCTTTGAAGGGAATTTAGAGCCCTGACAAGATGCACATAGGCTAAGACCATCCTGGGTAACAGCTGCCCAAGTCCCCACCCAGGGCCCTGTGGGCCAATGGCATCAGTCTGTCTAGGATCCCTGGTTGAGAAGCTGTGCTTTATAGCCCATATATGGATGGTGGTCTAGAGAATTATGGTTTCCTTTCAGATCAGTGTGTATAGAAGATTATAATTCTCTCTGGCTCTTTGCAAGATATCATCTGTGAACGGGGAATGGCATTATTCAGAGATTTCTGGGCTTTTTGAATGTGGCAGAAACTTGGTGCACTGACAACAAAACATGGCAGTGTATGACTGCTTTGTGGCATGATTATCAAAGATTGGTAGAGTTTCTAAATACTTCCCAACAGTAGGAAAATGTATATTGCAATAGTTAACCAATGTCAGAGACTCAGCGTTTTTTCCAGACTGAATGGCTAGCATCCCAGACACTGAATAGTCTATTCTCCGAGACTCCCATTTCAGCATAATTTAGTTCAAAAGTAAGGTTTCTCATTGTGAAATATTAAGCCAGGGTGTTTTATATAAAAAGGATTGAATTATTTTATTCTCCAGGTGGCATAGTTTAAATAAGATGGAAGTGTAAATCTAATCAGCTATGAGACTATGTCTATTTTATACTATGTAGCTTCTTTTAAAAAGACTGATTTATATGCAGCAGTAATTCACTTAATCTCAACAAGTTTTTGCATAACTTTATATTCCTCTACTATACTCTCTTTGCCAGGAATATGTTCATATAAATCACTTTTCCCCTGCTAAACTGGCTTCAGAAAGTATTTGAAAAGCAACTAGACTAGTAACCCTTTGAATAAGTTTATCTTTTCCTTTTCTTTCCTTTTTTTATTGCTAATTAAATTACCTTGAGTCAAGTTTTCTGAGAGGTTGAGTTTCCACATTTTTCCTGTGATGCACAGACTTTTTTTAGTGTCAGAGCATCCAGCTCCAGAGAGTCTCAGAATCCTCCAGATCTTTTGTCTGTGATCATTGGCTAAGACTGTACTGCTTCCATTTTTTCAGTTGGCAGGAAGGAAGTGTGCTGCCAGTCATTCCAGGATCTGGGCAGAACGTGAAGGAGGAGATTCACTAATTCCTGGTTTTCAGCCTGCTCAGCTTGGTCTCACTGAAGTCCCTTTTATTTCTTCCTTCTGGGGAGGATCAGAAAGCTAGCCCATGTGTTTGCTTTCCAGCCTTAATTTTTGAATAGCTGATGGAAGTGTAAATCTATTTATTGTGCTGTGATCTGCAAAGATTTGGTAGAGCTTCTAAACCCACTTCCTAACTGTGGGAAAATGTATACCAGCTTTTGCATAGTTCACAGTGGAGTGTATCTGATGACTGTCATTCTGCCTTCTGTTGGGAAGAGACAGATGTAACAAGATACATGGTGCACTCATGCACTGTAGGGTGCACTCACTTACAACAGCTAGCATTTGAGGTAGGTGTTGTTACTCAAGTTTTCAGATGGAGATGCTGGGGACAAAGAGATGAAGTGGTCCCCTTAAATTTACACCATGATAGAATCAGGATTCAAAGCCAGGCATTTTGTTTTCAGAGTCTGCACACTTAACTATTGCACTACCCTGTCTCCATTGAATGACCTGATGTTAACCAGAAGGGATAAAGAATCAAACTGTGTTGCATAGGAATCTTATTTGGAGTTCTTCAAAGCAGATTGAAAAGTTGAATTTTTTTGACCCGGGTCCTCAGTCCTGTGACCTTAAAATAAAGTATGGAGGGGCACCTGGCTTGCTCAGTTGGTAGAGCATGCGATTCTTGATCTTGGGGTCTTGAGCTCAAGCCCCACATTATATATAGAGCTTACCTAAAAAAAAATGAATTAATTAAAACAAAATATAGTGAATCCTTTAAAAAAAATAAAGAATGGAGATTTTGGCTGTGTTTTTCGTAAGTGCTATGTGTTTCATAGTGATCATTCCTTCATTTATTTAACAAATATTTATTGAGCACCTAGTATATGCCCGGCATTATCCTAGGTAATGGAGATTCAGCAAAGAACAAGACAGGGAAAAAAACCATTCCTCTCATGTGGCATACATTCTACTGGGCAGTCCTGATTGATCTTCTGAGCCAGGTATGCAACAAAATTTGTTACCCAAAGACTTGGCCATTATGGCCATACTCAGGTAATTCAGAACCATTGGAGTCCTGTGCCTGAAGGACTTTGTTCTGGATGCCTGATGGATAACTTGAGCAAGTCATTCTGGCCAGAACCTGAGAGATGAGACAGAATCACTCAGACATCTCCAGTGTGGTGGCGATTTTTGTTGCTATGGTAACCACCTCTCTTAGCATCCCTTTCCACCACTACATCATAATTTTGACAGGACAGTGTGAGTGAGTTTATGTACAAACACATGTGCTTTTATAAAGCCTGGTTGGGGTGGAAGAAGGCTCTAGTACATCCATTGTCTTTTCAAAGATACACAGCATCCGGGCTAATTAAACCTGTTCCTGCAGGCTTCTCATTGTTGATGCTTCCCTTGGCGTATCAAATTACTGTGTTTGAAATAACGGTGTGTCTGCAAAGATGGGATTTTTATAATATATACATTCACAGATACATCTAACAAATTCTCACTTTTTCTAATCCCGAAACATGCTAATTTTCCACCCAAAATTCACTGACATTCACAGTGCATCTCAGTGAAGATGAAATCCTTGAGGTTCTAATGAGGCCCTCCTCCGTGATTAGGATTTCATTGCTCTCACTTTAGCATAAGTTCTTCACCAAAACTGTGATTATGATGTGCAGCTCACATGTCAAAATTACTAATTTTGTCATTCTCTTGTTGTCGTTGTTGTTAGCTTCCCAACATTAATGAGAAAGCACTGCTTAAAGAGGAGGTATGTGTTGCAGAGCTAGGGATCCCAGTATTTATTACCTTTGATGGCTGAAGTTGCTATGATCTACAGAATCCAGTCCCCTTCATGAGAAACACTGTGATCAGGGAAAAGGGAGAATAATTTTGGGAGAATAATTTTGAAGAGTGTAAAGGGGTCCAGAAACTTTAAGAAGAGTCAGACGTGCCAAGATTGGACCCCTGCTGTTTCTGCCATCTGGAGATTCTGAGCTTTCCTTTGAAGCCACCTTGGGGTGGGGGAGTGTCAGGTGCTAGCCATTCTGCGTGAAAGGTCCAGTATTAAAGCTCTTGGTGATGTAGCTTTTTTCCCTTCATACCCACCCACCCACACTCACACGGTTTCTCTCTTTGTTGTATCTGTAGTGCTATCGGGGAGTTCACTATTAACAGACTCTGCCCTGAATTGTCCCTCCTCTCAGTCCGTCTAGGTGTTGCTGAGCACTGGTCACTAGTCTAGACTCTGAGGTTGTTTTTCCCTTGGTGTCCTTCCTGCCCTCCCCATCTGACCAGTGACCACATTCCAGGCAACATCATCCCTTTAGGGATGTCTTACCATCATTGTGCCTGCTCAGAGATCTTTGAGTTCTAAACTCTCTTTTATAACCAACCCCCGCTTTACAGCAGTGGATACCTACTTCCTGCATCTGTAAAGTCAGTGGTACAATTCAAGTGTTAACCTCCCCACCCAACAAGTATCCAATTCTAGAAACAAGTGGCTTGGAAACTTACATGGTGATGTTCCTGTTCCTTTCCAGAAAGGTGACCATCTGGAGGGCCGAAGTGTGTTTGCTCCTGTGACACTTGCTAACATTTAGTAAGAATTTCTTGAGGCTTTTTCATGTCATGCTAACATTTTGGAATTTAGATAAAGTCTAGTCTTTATTATCAAAGAGTTTAGCATCCAGGTAGAAAGAAGATCGGTCCAAGGTGGTTCGTTGCGTTCATCAGCTCCACAATTGTTTGCAAGAGCTGTCATGTTCAATAGGTCGTTGAACCCTTAAAAACAAAACAAAACAAAACAAGAACCCCAGAAGAGACTAGGTAGGGTGGACACTGCAGAGTACACCGGGGTGAGAATACCTGTACCACAACTTGCTAAATTCAGTTTCCTAATCTGCAAAATGAGGATGCTCTACTTCCTTCTCTAGATCATTGCACAAACTGGTTGACTTAGTTCTCAACCTGTGGAAAGTACTTTCATTATGCATTAAACTGTAGAGTCCTATGGAAGGAGCACCTGACTATGAGTGGGGAGATTGGGGGAGGGGGTGAAGGGCAGTCAAAAAAGGCTTCATTGTGGAGGGCAGGAGCTTTAAGGGCAGAGTGAGATGGTTTCACTGAGGGCGTTTCAGGAAGAAGAAACAGCATGAGCAGAAGCCCAGAGTTGAGAAACACTATGGCCAGTTGGAAATTACAAGTTGTTCATTAGGCTTTCAGTATGGGCTTTATTTTCCCTCAAGCCTCTTCAGTAATTTCCAAGTCTTTTGTAAGCCCCCTTCCTTTAAACACAATAACGAAAAACAAACAAACAAAAGCAAGAAATTCACCGAGCAAGTGTACATGGATGTTCCTTGCTACATTGTTTAGTATAGTATAGCATAAATAAGACGCTGAATCATTTGGGGTTCATTAATATGCTTTTCTCTTTTATATTTGTGTGTGTGTGTGTGTGTGTCCACCTTCCCTGTCACCCAGAGACAACCATTTGCCTCAGGAGATTAAGATTCTTGAAGCAGGAGGCGCCTGGGTGGCTCAGTCGTTAAGCATCTGCCTTCAGCTCAGGTCATGATCCCAGGGTCCTGGGATCGAGCCCCGCATCAGGCTCCCCGCTCCGCGGGAAGCCTGCTTCTCCCTCTCCCACTCCCCCTGCTTGTGTTCCTGCTCTCGCTGTCTCTCTCTCTCTGTCAGATAGATAGATAGATAGATAGATAAAATCTTTAAAAAAAAAAGATTCTTGAAGCAGGAAGGAAAAATCAGTGTTCAACTTTTTGTCTACCAAATAAGATTTTCTAAATCCCGTAAGCCTCCATTAGCATATCAAGAACTAGGTCCATTGGGCCTGAGTGCCAGGTTTAATATAACTAGGGTGACCACACTTATCAGCTTGCCTGGGACAGTTCCAGTTCATGTCCATTGTCCTGGCCTAATTATTCTCTCTCAAATGCGTTCTGGTTTGGATGATAAATTATAGGGAAGGTCATTCTCTGCCACAGAGAAGATGGAGTAAGATGAGCCCAGCCGTTCAGGCCTAGCGGAGTGTGGGAAAGGAGAAGAAGATGGCGGGGTCGGGGGGGGGGAGTCAGTCAGTGTACCTATGTGTGTTACCCTTTCTCCAAGTCAGAATTCCAAAGCTTGTGTATTTGGGGTGCTAGCAGACGTCTTGGCTAACAGCAGCAGGGCTTTTTGGCCTCACAATCCCTGAAGCCCTGGGAAGGCTATAATACAGGTTGCCCCATGCAAGACAGGTTGGCAGTATCATAAGAATAGCAGTACACTGGGCTCAGGCAGAGAGAGAGGCCGAGAGATCCTGTCAATCTGAGCTTCTTGGGCTCCCATCTACTAAGAAAGGAAAGTTGTGACATGTTCCTTGGGGGGATAAATAAGGTTCTGAGTAGAGGACCAGCCTCCTTATTATGGGGGATGCCTTAGTGAGCATGAGGTATCATCCTAGAGGGGGTTCCAGGCCAGCTAGGCCAAGACAGTGGTTGGTTGGAGGCTAGGACCAAGGCCCAGATGGTTCATCAAAATTTGAAAGCGTTCAGGCAGGAACGACTTGAGAAAGGAGAGTACAGGGCTCAGTCTGAGCTTGGAGAGCCGAGAGCATAGTCACCCAGGGCCAACTTCAGTCAGTGTCCAGTGCCCGTGGCACACTGAGTCAGCTGGTAGACAAGGTGCTTCCCAGCATGGGGCAGAGGACCCAGTGGCCAGCACGGGTCCCCATTCCCCAGGGCCACGGGACTGTGTGCCCATCCTCTCAGGGAGGAAAAGGGAGGGATGGAGTTTGCATTCTCATGAGGGAGATGGATTCTTTCCCTGAAGATGTATTTGTTGTGCACTCACCCTGTGCCAGGTCTCCTGCTCTGCATACTGGGGGTACAGCAGTGAGTGAAAGTGGCAGAAATCCCCGCCTCCATGGAGCTCACATTCTGATGGCTTTCCCCAAGGACTACACTGAGACTGGAAACATTCAACTACTGTTGGCAATACATTAATACTACTCAGCCACAGGTGGGGAGGAGAACTCTTCAGGTCAGCTGAATAAACTATAGAAAGTTAGGAAGCTGAATAGTAGCATTTGAAAATTTGATGCTACAATTATAAAATTAGCAAAAACCTACATATTTAAGAATAAGGGACTGAGTAGGTAAATTATGGTACATCTTTAATAAAATACTATGTATTAACAATGATGTCATAGATGAATATTAATTGGTATAGAATGGTGTTCATGATGGGTAGTGTAAGTTGTATGGAGCAAGTTATAAAACAGCATATAATGGTCCATTGATTGTTAAAATATTTAATATGTACACTTAAATGTAGTACACTCTCTGTTTTATAAAAACAGAGTTATAGGTAGTAAGTCCATATAATGTGCATGTATTTTATATATGCATATACGTGTACCTCTGTGGGTACACAGTTAGAACTAATCTACAGCAATATGTTTATACTGGTTATCTTTATGTAAATAGACTGCTGTTTGTAGAATTCTTTGTATTTGTTTCTTCTGGTGTTTTTCCTCTGAATATATAGTATTTTGGCTTAAAAGTTATTTTTCAAATGATTTTTAGAAAATCATTTTCAGTCTCTAGCAATTTAGTGATTTGCTCTATGACCTTGTCTTTGTAGGGTTGTGTGCTCCTTGGTGGATATTCTGAAAGGCAGCATGTAGGGTGGAGTGAGGAGCAGAG